GACTTGTAAGTTCAACATGTGCAGCAGTCTTTCTAAGGTTAGGAGATCTAGTAAACTTGAAATTTGGGGGATAACCATGGAGTTTGTAGCACTTGTCTATAGTATGGCCAGGTTTCTTACAGTTTTTGCATATGACACTTGGTTTAGATGGTTCAAAATTCACCTTAGAAGGATTGATCGAATTCTCAGCACGAGATTTAGACGGATCTCGGCTCTGATACCATGTTAACATGAAGAAAATGGAGGAAACGAAGAAGATTAGAAGCTAGGGTTCACACCATGTATGCAGAGAACAGAAGCTTCGAGACCATTCTCTTCTGTGTACTGAAAATGAATCATTGCATTTTATTACATGACCGGTCTTCACTATTTATAGTGACCCGGAAAGAATGAAAAATAAAATAGGTTGTACAACTGGGCTAACTATAAATACAAGAGTAAAGAAAGAAAACTAGGCCCAAAACATTAACCAGCATCTAATACATCTAATTGGCCTATTCTAACATCTCATCTTTTGTAGACACACCAATTCAAGAGCTTTTCACTCCTATCTTTCTTTCTCCTCCTTAATTTATTAAAATTATTTTGTAAGAGAGTTGAGTGTTTGAAAATACTTGTGTGAACCTTTTCTTTGGAATGATCTTGTGAGGTTATTCTCTTTGGGTATTTGAGACTAGTTATAGTATTTACTCTAATTTTGTACTCTTGTAGATGGAGAAGGAGATAGATGTGATTGTTGAAGCAACAACGTCAATTGAGAATATTGATCCTTGGTAAGTCCAGAGATATCAGACATATCTTCGGACTGTGAAAGAGTACCATGCTCAGTAAAGATGTCACCAGTCCCAAATTTAGCATGACTGGTAAGTTCAACATGTGCAGCAGTCTTTCTGAGGTTAGGAGATCTAGTAAACTTGAAATTTGGGGGATAACCATGGAGTTTGTAGCACTTGTCTATAGTACGGCCAGGTGTCTTACAGTTTTTGTATGTGACACTTGGTTTAGATGGTTCAAAATTCACCTTAGAAGGATAACCCTGCTTGAACACCCCAGCACTAAAAGATGCAGAGGTAGAAGGAAACTGAGTCCCAGAAGACACATTCCTCTGCTTCTCATCAGATAATATGATGCTATACACAGCCCCAATTGAAGGAAGAGGCTTCATCATCAGAATATTACTCCTGGTTTGGACATATGTATCATTCAAACCCATCAAAAACTGATAAGCCCTTTGTTCCTCGTCTTCTGTAGACTTAGCCCCACAAGAACATACCCTAGTTCGACCAGCAGATATGGAAGCTATCTCATCCCACAATTGTTTGATTTTATTAAAATATGAGGCTATGTCAAAAGACCCCTATGAAATGTGTGCTAACTCTTTCTTAAGTTCAAAGACTTCAACACCATCGGCCTTACCATATCTCTCTTCTAACTCGTGCTGAATTTCCCTAGCAAATTCTGAATACTCCACACTGTGAGATATTTCCTTAGACAAGGAGTTTACTAACCAGGAGATGACAAGGTCATTAAACCTCTGCCATTGTCTGGCAAGAGGTGAAACAGGTGAAGGCTTCTGGGAATTTCCATTTATAAAATCTAGTTTGTTTCTAATTGAGATTGCAACAAGGACATTACGCCTCCAACTACCATATCCTGTTCCATCAAACGGGGTGGATACTAACGAGGTCCTCAAAACATCTGATGGATGAACATAGAGAGGATGACATGGATGAGTATAATCATCCTCATGAAATACAGTGCGAGAAATTGTTGGAGTTGAAGATGTATCAAGAGTTCCATTAGTCATGTTATCACATTCACAATCAAATATATAGAAGACCTAAATCATGCAAATAGAAATACGAGGATGCAATGAAGAATGAAATTGATGTTACCAATCTCTTTCGCAACCGGAAAAAGCTACAGCCTTCACTAGAAGAGAACACTTCAATAGCCGTCGTCATAAAAGTTCGATTCGAGCAACCCTAATTTGAGTCGAAATCCTTGAAATCGTCTAAAATAAAAACTTCACCGCCGCGATGCACGGGAGTGGATGATTTAACACAATATTGGAGAATAAATCGAAGAAAAACCCAAGCACCAGACCACGAACACCGAAAGAAATCAAAATCAGACGAAGTATATAGAAAGGCAGTAAGAGAACACGAGCGTAGGATCGATCGAATTCTCAGCACGAGATTTAGAACGGATCTCGGCTCTGATACCATATTGAAACACAATAAAAAGAAAAGACAATGAAATACTGCGAGATACATTGAAATATATTAACAAAAAATACAAGTTCCATTACAGCGAGAAAATATCTGTCAAAATCTTAACTTCTTCCATTGCTTTTTCAAGAGCAATTGTCTGTAAATGGCGACAATTTCACTGTCTTTTGTTTGGCTGTGTCGACTTTGTGTACTTTTTTAGCAAATAAGAATATTTGACATGAGAGAGAAATTTCACGACTTCTTCTCCTTCTCCAGCGAGATTGAAATTCGACTGTGAATGAGATTTGGAGGCTGAGGGCGGCGGTAACAATGAATAACGGTCGCGGTCGAAACGGTGACGGTGGCTTTTGCTCCAGCGTCCGGCGGATGAGAAGACATCGAGAAGTAGAGAGAGAGAGAGGGAGAATAGATATGGGGTAGGGGATAGGAGAAATATGAGGGGATATGAGAGAGAAAAATAATATAAAGCTTATTTTATGGCTTAAGGGTAGGAGATGACCATAAATAGATATTTGACTATAAAAAATCAAAAGGTAGCTATGGAATATAACTTTTTTAAAAGGATATTTATTTAAAATAAATAAGGTATCAAACCTTTGGTATAGGAGGTAACTAATCCTATAAAGATTGCAAGTTTCATTGACTTTGTCTCTTCTTTGTTTTACAATTTTGGCCCAACATCAGAGGTTTTGCAGTGGCAGCTCATAGGCCCAGTCTGGCAAATTCAAATGCAATGTGACACTTGTTCGTTAAAATAGCCCAAGATTCGGGCCTAAACCCTAGCCCAAGATTCGGGCCTAAACCCATTACCGTTACCTAGGTCTTTCATAAATTTGCAGCCTCTATATAATCACCACAACTTTACTCACAGATGAAGACCTAGTTTACTTTTGACTTCGCCGAACGCCTTCGCGTTCTCACTTTATTTTTATGCATAAATTATTGTGTTTTTTATCGTGATTTTCTTAGTTTGATCTTTGTTTATAGTTTGTTATCTTCATTTTTTTAGTTCAATATTTGGTTTCTAAAAAGCCCGATGATGGAAAATATATATAAAATTGAGCGGCTGTGATGGTTTTAGATTCATCAGTTGCCTTTCTGCATCACCTGAAAATCAGCAAGAAAAATTCATTTTTTTAAATCCCTTCCTCCTTCCCCTAAATATTTTTATAGAGCTGATCTTTATGGTGATGTGTGAAAGGCTTCTGATGAGTTCCATCACGATTTAAGCCGTCTGTGATTTTGAAGCTATGAGATCTGAGGGCTTTTCACTTTTCACAATTTGGTTGTTTGGTCTTGCTTTTCTTTTCGGAAAAATTATATATTTGTTTGGATTTTGTTTTCGAGAGTATTGCTTTTTGGTTTGTTTTTGTGATAATTTGTGTTGGTTTTTATATTTTGGTAATAAATCATTGGAAATATTAGAATTATGCATAGTATTTCATAATTGTAGATAAGATATTTTAAGTAAAAATTGGACAAAGAGCGCAAAATTTGTTACAAGAACCGTTAAATTTAGATTAGAAAAAAATTTGGTTGAAGGGAAAAAAATCTAAGTTAGAAATATGAACATTGAAAGAGCCATCAAATGATCATTAGGTTTAAACAATTGTTATTCTATTTTTTTTTGAGTCCATACTAATTGGTTTCTAACCTAGATTTGGTCTTAAACCAAACCAAGCATGAGTAGAATAATGATAATTGAGCGTCACAAAAGAGAGGATATTCATTCCATATTAACAGAGCAATTTATTTTGGTAATCAAGCTATTGAAACTTGAAAGAATAAAGATAAAATGGAAATAGCAGATCAAAAGGGACATTTAATATTCGTCAATTAGGATTTACATATTGTGGTATTCTTTTTCAAATTTTCATTGAAGCTCTAAGTTTCATTTCTCGACCATTAAAAAGTCCCATTACTTTCTTGCTACGTTAGGAGCAAAACATTTAAGATGATAAAATGTTGAGTAAAAATTACACAATATATTAAAGAATTATGCTTTTAATCACTTGACACAGCAACCCAAGTAAAAATGGCCATGTTTGAAGCTTTTATTCGGTTTGGCTCAAGTTGTATATATCTTGAAAGAAATATTTCAGTCTTTAGCCCATTATTAAAGACATACTTCTAGGGTTTTTTTCTTTTCTTCTTTCTTCTTTCCCAGCATACTCAATCTCTCTTCACTCGCCTCTCTCTTCCTTCTCCCTAAAAATTACAGAATTTTTTTGTACACACTCGTGATAATCCTCCCATTCTATGTCAATTAGATTTTGATTTTTGAGTTAATTGACAAAAAAAGGTTAAGGAACCACAATAA